GACGATACCGCGAAACATCGGTTGGAATTTATGTCAACGAAAGCCTCATAGAACCGTCGCAAAATGTCCGCTGGCTTGGTGTGTACCTCAATCCTCGACTAAACTTCAAACACCACGTCACAACCTGGTGTGGCAAAGCGGTGAAAGTTGCACAGCACATGCGTCGCTTCAATACAGCCTATCGAGGAGCCACTCCTGGAGCGTCGGTTAAAGCGATTGACACATGTATTGTCCCCATTGCAACATATGGAGCTGACGTCTTGTGGCCTGGCCTCAGACGACCAACAGTACGAGGGATGGTGACACCGCCTACTGCTGGCCTATGTAGTATGATTGATAAGGCTATCTTAATGGGTCTTAGATAAGCACTATCGGTAATGAGGACAACTCCCAACGCCGTACTTCATAGAGAAGGGGGAATTCCAACCGGGAAAATCATACTCGAAGGAAACCAACTTCGCCTCTCTGCCAGAATGCAAACACTTGACGACCGCCATCCGCTCAGGATCCGTGCTGCAGTTTGCCCAAATGTCGGTACGCGGAAATATAAGGAGCACAATCGAAAATCTGCGCGTTCTGAAATTCAAATATCACGGGCTCAGCGTACTTATAGACAGCTACCAGAAGCAGAGGCCGCGGAACCTCTTGCCTCACCATCCTATCAATTGCGGCCTGGTTGGAAGGTTGGTTCGAGAAAAGACCAAGTAGAAGCCTGTAAACTTTGGATCACTAATGTGCCAAAGTCAGAAATCTGTGCGTACTCGGACGGATCATCAGAAGAAAACGGACGCTCAGCTTGGAGGTTCGTCCTAAAGCTGGATGGGAAAATTTTTCTAAAAGGAGGTGGCATAAGGCACGGTGGAGAGGCTTTAGATTCAGAGATTACGGGGGCACAGGAAGCTCTTAAAGCAGCGTTGGGTCACCTAAGAGGGAAGGAATACCAAGCGAAGGGAACGACGCAGTGCATAAATGTGTTGATGGATAGTCGACATGCGATAAATTCACTGAGCACGGGCAGGTCCTCAACCAGCCACGAGGAAGTACGAAAATTTCGCGAATTATCTGGGCTAGCTCAGGTAAGAATAAAGTGGGTACCAGGACACTCGGGACTACATGGAAATGAGGAAGCAGACGCAGCGGCCAAATCCGCGCTACGAACGCTTCCCAGCGTGGAAACTGAGCCAGCAACCCTCACGATAGCATTTTTACACCAAAAATTGCATCGACAACAACAGACTTTGCTCAACAGCTGGTGGAATGAAACTTGCCCGTCACGGTATCGCGAGCTAGATCTGCTCATGCGCCGTCGCAAACCACCAGAACTGGGGCTTTCCAGGCTACAGTTACGACATCTCATTGCAGCCCGTACGGACTACGGCAATTTCGCGGCGTACCATCGTCGCTTCAACAATCCGCACGCTATTACAGAGTGCATCTATGGGGAGAAAACAACCCCTACCCACTTCATATATTGTCGACTCAACGCAAATATCACGCGTCAAATCAGAGGGTCATTGTCACACAATGCCTTCTTACACAAGCTACTCGGGCCTAAGTGCTTCGAGAGCTTCAAACAATTTGCGCAGGATACCAATTGTTTTGGGTATTCTCCTGTGCATCCATCTCCTACTCTCAGTGGAGATCGAATATAACTCGTCAGGAAACTAAACCTGACAAAATGGGAATCGAGGCGAGGAGTATTGCTTCCCATTCTAAATTATTTGCAATTTATCTTTTTCTTTTGTCAGTTTTGGGAAAAGGAGTTCGCGTCGGCGCACAATTTTAACTTACTGCTGGTTTTGTGGTGGTTCATGCGGTGGAATCAAGCTGGGTATGCTTTAGATGTAGTTCTGGCTGTGAACACCGGTCCTGTACTCACATTGGATTTGGAGCTTTAGCTTAGGACCTGAATAAAACAACTCACAATTTTTTGAAATACGAATTTTCGGATCTACACCTTTTCCCCCTCTCCCTCTGTTGGAATAACATCTATAGCTTGGTTTACTTGGAGTTGGTGGTTCTTGGTTTACATGCAAACGATTTCCTTCGTGTTGTGGATTCCGTCATTCAAATAATACTTTATCCGAACGCAACATAGTTAATATCTTGTAGCATCATTGTAAACTAGATAACGATTGAACCATGAATGCACATTTCTTCTGAATGATAGTTTGAAATACTTACACAAGTACTCTCATAACTTTAAGTGAACTGATAGACTTTAAGTGTATGACCTTTATCATACCCTCACCCTCCCTCTCGCGCTCGTAGCATTCCTTCAATAAATTGTAATCGAGTCACTGGCGTTTTCATCATGCCACCTGTTCGAAAAAAGCTCCCCATTTCAAGGTTGGACAATGCGAGAGTCCGCCCGAGGGCTCTCGCAAAAACATCTGGTCTTGCGCAAAAAATATCAAGCATGCTTGCGAGTGAGGCCTTCATCGAAGGGAAGTCTCCAAACCTTCCCGATAAAGAGATGACTGATTCTGAGCCCGTCAGGTCAGAAAAAACTGGTCCCGAGGCCAAAATTCCCATCGAGCTTGCCCCAGAGGCAAGCACTTCATGGAAAGGAAAGGAAGTCGTCCGAGAGAAGACGACAGAACAAGCAGAAACTTCTGCAAGAAGATTCACTGTGCCAGCTCCAAAAGGCACAGCTTCGACATCAGCACCGGAATATCCTCCAGAGCTGCAATCAGTTATGGAGGCCGAGAAGCTTCGCACGACGCAAATCAAGGCCCGTTTATCAATCTGTTCCACCGCAATAAGCAGTGTTGAAGCAGCACTTTCGCCTCTCTCGGTTGGCGACGAAAAAAAGTTTGTAGACGGCATCAAAGTCTACCTTCGAGCGCCCATTGGCCAGTTCATACAATCAGGCCCAGGGAGCATTCCAACAGCTCTCCCTGTATGCCTCAGCAACCCTCCTCCGCCGAGGGATCATGAAATTTGGGTACCTAACCCTTCGACAACCCAGGCTCCGGCCCAAAAGAAAACTTAGGCGAATGTAGCCCGAGCAGGCCTTGGCCACAGCACTGGGCCATCAACAAAAAAGGCAGCCCCGCCCGCTCTAAAAGCAAAGGGAGCCAATACGAGGATAGCGGTCGATATGCGACTGTTTCTACGCCTCGGTTACGACCATCCCCACCGACTCCTCGCACCAGCTGGCATAAAATCAGCTGTCTCAGAGGCACTCGGTACCGCAGCCAACAACGTCACGTTGGTTCAGCAGGTCAAAACAGGCTTTGCTCTAACAGCAAAGGATGAAATCGCTCGGAAAGAGCTCCTTGATTCCTCCGTAGAACAGAGAGAATCTGGAATTAAATTGGAACCAGCGTCAAATCTGGTTGCCCTTCATATTGTCACCGTCCCGCTGAGAATTAATACACTCACAGGTTCCGTTCTTACTACGGAAAAGACGGTCGCCGATGAAGTCACTCGAGTGACCAAATCAGTTCCTTTTCTTGTTCGTCCTCATGTGTTACGGTTTGACCGTGGTTTAGCTTAGGTGGAGACCTAAGCGGAGTTTGGGGGCGTATTAGGGAGTGTGTTTCGTATTATCTTGTTTCAAGCGACTAAGTTTCACTTGGCTACATTACATTGGAGCTAGGAAGGAATGTGTGACGGCGAAGTAGAATTGCCAAGTGAGAGAGTCAGCTAGATGGCAAAGATGGTGACGGGCAGTGGCGAAGCAATATGTCATTCTCACCAACAGAGTACGTATTTGATGAGCTAGAAGGATGTACAAATAGTCATTATCCGTAGTTGTGGTACTTCTCTCTTCATATAGTTTAATCTTTCTAAAAGTACACTACAACCAGCTTGGTTTCGTCACATCATTGCACCAGCAAACCCGGGGCGCCATACCAGAGCCGGTAAGCGCTTTTCCCTCGAGAATCCACACCTCGACCTGGATTTCGCCTCTTCGATGACTCTGGAGCTGCAAAGCTCTTCCAACCTCGTCGAAATATAGTTCAGTGCAAACGATATCTTGGCTTCCATGCCTCACGGGGTTGCTCCCGCGCTCCGGCTTGCTGGAACTGCGCGTCAAAAATGCATTCTGAAACGGAGTGCAAAGCCCCCACACGGTGTCGAAATTGCGATAGACCTCATCGATCGGACTCGCGGTACTGCAAAGCCAGAACCAGCAAGTTCGGCCCGGTGAAAAAAGAGCAGCTTGCATTAATTCGCAAAGCCAAGTAGAAAAATCCTGCCGATTATGCTCGAATGAAAGCTGCAGCTAAAATAGCCATTCAGGCGATTCACGGCGCGAAGAATGACGTCTAGATGTCGGACGGATCGGGTTTTGGGATTCTGGGATCCGAAGAGGAGGTTTAAGGTTACGGCCAGCCTCAGTGAAGTCGTCGAGGCTTCAATACTCTAACAGTAGGACAACAGATGGGGAAAGGGTGCCTGCGAGCTCATCTTCTGCTCTCAGCGAAGGTCAGAAAGTGTCACTTGGAAGATGTGACAGGAAAGGGAACGGGCGATGAGCGCGGGATCCGGACCTAATTGGGATTTCTTCTGAATTTGATTTATGTTTTTGATTTCTGTTTTTGATTTTTGTTTATGATTTTAGTTTTGCTGTTAATACCATTATTTATGTGGAAGTTCACGCGGTTGGAATGATTTGGGCCTGTATACAGTGATCCTTACCAGCTCCACCGGTCCTGTACCAACAGTAGGATGTGGAGCTTTTTACTTTGGCTCAGGACTTTAAAAATACAACAACAACATAAGAATCGAACAGGTCAATAATAGAGTATATGTAATTCTTGGAGAGACTAAAGCTTTAAAAGACGTCTTTATTAATTAATTGGTAGTTATTCCTCTAGGTTTAGACTAAATTGTCTTAAAAATTATTACCTAGTAATTACTGTTCCATTTTCCTGTCAAACAATCTACTTCATTGACTGTTGAACCCTAATATGATGTGTATCACAGTATCAAAACTCCAACTCATCTGGCTCTTATTTCACGGTGACCTGCCTAATAAATACATAAAACTAATCACTTTTCTCATTTTCCAGCTGCCAAAATTCCCAAGCCTTCCTATTCCCACCCAAACCATGAACTCCCACAAGTTTATCGACTCCTTCAAGCTTCTCTGCGTTCAAAAACTTTTCTTTGTCAATTTCCAGATCTTCTCTCTCAACTTCTTTTCTATTCTCAAACACAGCTGGCCCTAAGACACCGACTCCTTTACCTCCCACGACTGTTTTATATATACTAAAGTTTTCGCTCTCAAGAGTGGCATCGAGCAGCTCCATTTTTTCTGGGGATAGATCTGGTTTGAGCAGAACAATAGCACATCCTCCACCTCCTGCACCAGTAAGCTTTGTCCAGCCGATACCTTCGTGGTCAACTATTTCTCGTATACGTTCAAGTCGTGGGTGCGAGACGCCCAAGGCAACTAAAAGTCCATGATTCACTTGCATTAGTTTTCCTAGTTTACTGACACTTTGTAAATCTTTTCCATCGAAACTATTAGCAGACAATAGATTAGAAGCACATTTCGAAACCGTATCTATTGATGAGAAAATAGATTCGGTAAGCTCGGGATATTGTCTTTTCAAGTCAGCCACCTTTGCGACCTCCACTGTTGTTGATTTAGGCTCTCTTGTGTCTACCAAAATAAGGGGCAGCTCTGGGAAATTGCACTTAGACTCAATGCTCGGTGTTTTAGAATGGTCTGATCTCTGGAATATAACAGCCTTACCGTATGAGGCCACTGTATTATCAACCCCAGATGGATTACCGTGAATGCATATTTCTCCTACAAACGCCCACTTATTAATAAGACCTAACTGAATGCGCGCCTCTGATGAAGATTGATTCTTATTTGGTCTGGTGATTGCTCTGGTCTGTAGTAAAAGAGCGGTAGCTATACATACAGAGATAGAAGCACTACTTCCTAGCCCAGCCCCAATTGGAATGGTAGAGCGGATGATGTACGAACAGCTTTGAAAGTTTGAGGATCCTAGGGACAATAACAAGTACAGGAATGCTAAAGCCGAATTCCGATGAATTTTTCGAACACCATCCGGACAATGGGTCGAGATGTCTCTTAGGTGAGGCTCAAGGGCCGTTAACAAAGCGGGATCAATAGAAGTCACCGGTGAACATTTGGATATCTTTGAATCGGGTGAAGAGAATGTAGCCCATGGTAATTCATCGATATTCCAAGTGTGTGATAAACTTATGTCAGGGAAGCGTATTAGAACTACACGCGGCGACTTCGGTAATGAAGTGACTAGTAGATATGATCGTAGTGATGTAGATACTGCTACAGCCGTCTAAATTGAATCAGCTACATTTTACAATGATATCTAAGAACTTGATTTTACCTTTCCATAAACTACGGCATGTTCTCCAAAAGCAATGACCTTTCCTGGCGCTGAGATTACAAATGAAGTCATCTTCTTTGGGTGTACATTCTCATCCGAGACATTAGTTTTGAATGCTCCATCGCTAATCATTCTAAAAAAAGTATAATTGATTGCTGTCGTAGCCTGATCAAACGTTTGTCGCGTCCCCAATTTCCGTATACCGACGTCGATACCGAAATATCCTGTCAATCTTAACTATTCGTATTTTTCTCAGAGAATAGATTACCCAATGAAAATATGGGAAGGATCTTTGCGCAAGTAGCCAATGAGCCTAACACTGCAGTTATAAGTTTTTCGCGTACTCACAATTGCGTAAGGGTGAGAAATTCACTAACAATTAAATACAACTTGGTATCGCGCTCCTGACACAGGGATGAGTAAGGATTCACTACCGGAGAATAATTACTTAGGAGTGAACCGAACCCAAATAGGACGTGCCATGGAGGGCAAGACTGAACACCTGTACGCGGTGTCCTCTACGAACCTGGGAGTGAAATATTCTCCCAGAGCCAAGTTCAGTCAAATTTCGCAATATCAAAGAAGTTGGCCCACGTGGCAATGATTCAATTTACTCCTTCACGTCGTTTTCCGCTCCCAACGAGTTCGACTCCTACCTAAGTCTCATCAAGTCTACAAGTACGACCAAGTACATCATTCCAATGACCACACTTCTCTTCGACCTTCTCTGGCCTCAGTTGACCACCAAATACACGCCCACGGCGATATTCACACCCCACGGTGGAAGCAAAGCGTGGCGCACAAATCTGGGGGACAGTTCTTTCGGATGGACGTGAGAGGGGTCAGGACAAGTTGACAAGATGACAAGATGATGCAAAGGAAGGATACAACACGAAGGGCATGAAATTCCGAATTTTGGCAAGGAGTTTTACGAATTGGGCTTTGTGCGCGCCAACACTTCGCTTGCGAGAGTGTAGCTAACACTATAAAATCAAGCTGACGATGGAAGGTACCATGGTCCGCCTCCTGGTGGTGTTCTCCGGTATATTCTGAGTAGCCTGGGCACCTATCCCACTTGGGAAGGAGACGCCTCAGACCATATTTCGCTCGGAGAAAAGTTGAAAGATGATGGAGGCATGTCCGGGTAACTCAGGGTTTTTGAGACGTTCCCTTGGATGGGTATTCACGGATGAGGGTTGACTTGGGGTGAAGAGAAAGCTACCATAACTTCGCAGTGGTACTTGCAAATGAAATCTGAGGCATGAGTGCTCCTCTTGTAAATTGAGTCATCTTTTTTGTACTTTTCTTTGATATTCTGTCATAGCTAGATAGCTGTATACGCAATTAAAATCCGATGCAAAAAAAAAAAAAAAAGGAGGCAATTTTGTTGTGCTGATGATGGCTAGGATTACGATGCACAGGGGTTATGATTACTGAGGGTGAAGGAAGAACTTTCCAGGTGGCTCCATGATGAGTAGAGGAACAATGGAGCACTGTATAGAAAGTGTTTCTTGATTGTACTGCCAGATGGGGGAGACTAGAACATTTCGTGTTACTGTTTTGGGTAAATAAGGCGAGAGTCTAGCTACCTCAGATGTGTGTATAATTAGCGGTTTCTACCTACCAAATCCTCATAGTTCTGGATATCAAATATATCAGCAGTTCATATTAATTCATCGATAATCACCCTTAAACCTTCTGCCAATTAACCTCCGTAAGCTCTTACCTTTATAACAAATTTTAATCGCGGACCAGGACCTAATCCGAACAGACATTCCAAGTCCGTGGTTGACAAATCTAAGATTCAGGTAAATAAGCTTCTATCAGTTGAAGTTCGATGGGCACCGGGTCATTCTAGAATTATCGGGAACGAGCAGACAGACAAATTGACCCTGAGAGACATCCCAGGCCCAAGGGGTGAACAAAAATCTACGACTATAGCTCTGAACCAGCTATTCCAAGAGCAGGCTAAGCAAACTGAGGAATCCTGGCAGCTTGAGCATAGGCCAAGTTGGTACGAAGAATTTGATCTGTATATGAGATAAAAATAACCACCTGAGCTTGAATCTCCGAGACAAGCGCACTTTTGTCTTTTAACAGCGAGTATAGGACACAGTGACTTCAATGGACACCATGATATATTAGGGTACGACAAAGTTGATTGCAGATGTATCTTTATGAGAGAGAGACATCCTTAGGACTTCGCAGAGTGCCTAACGATTATGAGACCGTGGAGAATATCCGGATATGAAACACCATTAAGAGGACGGAATGTGTTGGCAGGAAGATAAATGAAGGAATTCTTTTGGTATATAACCGTAAAGAGATGTTCTGAAAGACAATTTTCACGTCGACAGGCTTAATCCATCTCTAGGAGCTGGAATCTTTTGTTGCGCTACGGTCATTCTAGGTTTACCCGAATTTACTCATAATATGACTCAGGTCGGAGAAGTTAATGTTGATACATGATGTGTGTCAAGGAAAATATCTTTTTGTTCGGATTTTACATGATTCATACTTTAAACCTGGTTTACATTTATGTTTCCGATGATATTTTAATCTTATCTGTCCTGAGCACGATTTGGTATTCTTCGGTGGTAGCATTATTGCCAGCGAGTTATCTAGTAGGGTTTCATATGAGGAAAACTGTGTATTTTAAATTAAGTTAGATTTGTATTATAGTCCTAACTGAGTCAATGACTATTTAGGACTCCTAGAATCTACAAATAAGATACTAGCTATATGTTTGAAGTTCCAACTATTTAACTTTACGCTTTGCTATCATGGACAGCGAGGGACAAGCCCTGGCGTATTTTAGATACTCGATAGTCAGAGAATAAAGAAGCAACACTTCGATGATTTGTTACCTCCTACACCCATTTCCAAAATAGTCCAACATCTTTAAGCTATTTGATATGAAAGTGGGCAAGGCGTAAGGCATTTTTTATGGGCAATTTTTTTTCTCTTCTTTCATGTAATTACTCGGTCTAGAAAGCTGGATAGATAGGTAGTGATGAGTCTTCAGGGATCACACACCCGTATCATGCCTCTTGGGTATTGGGTATTTGGTATTTGCCTGATACGGCATTCATACATATAAACATGCCAGATTGTTTGAGTGTACGTGGAGCTTAGGAGGGTAAACAGACCAACTATTTCCCGCGTTTTACCGAATTTTGTATTCGGTTGAAAGCGATATATTTCCAGAATATAAAGCAAATTTTATCACTAGAGCTTACTTTAAAAGTTTGCATCTCTAGGTTTTTAATAAAAGTTGAATTTCTAAAAATTAATCACACATTTATATTCGACCAGGCTTAAATATCGATGCAATAAACTGTACAAAAGGGATTATTGATTATCTCCATTATTCTTTAAAGTCAATCCAACAGATAGAATTTATTTACAATGGACACTGGCGAGTGACCTTTTACCAAGACTAACTCCTAACCTTTATTGTGAGGTTATGGATCGTAAAGAAATGCCGGAATGGTATAGGGAGGTGAAGGATATATGCCGAACAATGAAGCAGTTGAATAGAGCTTAAGGGTGAAGCTTGGTAGGGTGACACGAAGAGGGTATGAATAGATAATCAGAGATATTCAGTAAATGTAATGAACTGAGGATTTCTGAAGGAGAAGAACACCACATATATATACAGGAATTAGTCCTACTGAGACGAATTTAGAAATAAGCCAGGATATGCGCCCATGTCCCAGTATGGCGACATTATCATGGTGAAGGTATGTCTTGACCACCAGTAGACCCCCAAGCTAGCTGAGTGTAAGACAGAATCATTCATATACCATAATTTCTAATATATCTTGTGTTAAGCGCCAAGACTAATTAATATTACAGAAAATAGATGTGGCGCAGTATTAAATGATACGAATAACGGAAACGAAAACGAGATAGTTCATGACTAGTGTAACAGATGCAGGACTGTTAGAATTACAACAACCTTAAGGCTGAGTGACTAGCCTTCGTCATATATTTATAATAACATTGATATTAATGTATATATGTATAACATACAAAAATATAAGGCGGATTACATTCTCCTAATAGCATATATCTTGACACAAATCATACTGGTTTCTGTCAAAATTTCAGTAATTTTTCCAATTGATTATAGTTGTGGTATTAAAACTGAGATTATCCAAAAACATCGTCAGGTACTTTCTCCTATCAATATCGGTCAGTGTGTCATATTCTTAAGTCATTTGCATTACCAACCTTTTTTTCAGGTAACTTTGAACTTATTAATTCCTTGAAGGTCGACTCTCCCAGATAAATGACCATTTTGCTTTGCCCCTTAAGAGATCCTCTACCCTTAGATATCCAGCACCTACAGTCTCGTTATCTTACTTTTGACCTTTTTCACATTAGTCTTCAGTTGTGACGTGGAAAATGGTTCGAATATTGCGACATCACTCACTTTTATTGTAATATACCGAAGACTTTTGTGATCAGCTGAGTTGACATCAGAAGCAAAGGTTTGAGAAGTCGGAACGCTGGTCTGCTGCAAAGAGTCGGTTGCCGATGGACTGGAATTTGTAAGACCTTCATTCCGCTTTTCCGACGATTGGCCCTCGATTTCTGCATTCTGAAGACTTTTGTGCCAGGTTATGTCGCTAATATTCCGCGTTTTTAGTCGCGTATTAGCTTTCTTCCCCGTGTTTTTGTCTTCATCAGAATTGGCATCGGAAATTTTCATTTTGAAATCTTTAATTTCCGTTCCACTTCCAAGCCCTTCTCGTGGCTTTTTGCTCATTCTGCTCTTGTCTACACCAACAAGAAGGTTGTAAAGCCTTCCTCCGCTGATATATGCTGACACTCTATTCAAATGAGGCCGGCGAGAGATATTTCGCCACCACAGATCCTCCTTACCAGCCCCTTTCTCCCCATGTAGCCTGACATATGGACTGCCAAGTCCATGCCAGTTATCCCATCCATATCGATTGAACTCTTCGTCCCATCGATTTGGCTGGCAACTACCGTCCCAGCAGCCATGGGCTCGAAGAATTCTTGTCGCATCTGGACAGGCCGAATAATTGTACAAGGTCATCTTCGGAAACGAGTGCTGGCTATAGTTATGGTGGTCCAGCAAAGGTAAATGACCTTGATGAATA